AGCTCGTGCCATCTTAACGCCATCACCGCGAGCCCATGGGCCATTTGTGGTAGGGAATCTCAACTAAATTTCTGGACTTGTAAGGAAGTATAGCTGTATACTAGCTTTTATGTTGATTGGTGATAAAAAAATATTGTGATATAGAAGAGGAACAATAAGCGATTGCACTGATGTTTTCAGAAGCAACGTAACCATTTTTTAAACTATGACTTTTAAATTTGAGCTTACTCAAAAGGCTCCCCAAGCTTTAATTAAGCTATTATAAGTACAAGGCGAACAAATAAGCTGCATATAGAAAAGGGATTGGTCAGACACTGTTACTAATGGACTGACCTTATCACTAGCGAATTCATGCAACAAGCTGGCTTCTTCATTCTTATCTGCACTAAATCCACCAGTAGTAAGAATTACTGCCTTACCAGTTATTTCTGCTGAAAAGAAAACAAGCTAATTTCAAAGAGAGAGAAGAACAAATAAAAATAGACCTACATCGTTTTCCATCCTTAATAACATTAACTCCCGTAACATATGCATTCCACGACGTAAGTCCAACTACACGTGTTTCAGTCATGATTTTGACATCATCAGGTCTCTGTTTTTGAATCTCAAGGATACGTTCCTTAACTTTTGTGATTATTCCAAAGCCAACATTAACAGCTCGACCTTCTTTTGGTGGAGGAATCCTGCGAATGAGAATGATTTTCTTCATAAGATTTCAAAAGATCAGAAGATAAAGTAGATCTCATAGCAACTCCTCACCAATGTGTTCGCGGCACTGAATGGCCACCACATAGGTTAACATCACTCAGATCAACACCTAAGTTAAGAAGGAAATCGACTGCGTCTGAAGAAGAGTCGACCTGCAAGCAATTATTACACCATAGGTAATACTCTTAGATAAAGAATATCGGTATTTTACCAGCATGTCTACCAATGCCTCATCATTCTCGCGATCCCCAGCACTCATCGTATCCGAATAGAAGAGATTCTTGGAGTCATGGATACCCATCTTTTTCTGAGTAACGGTTTCGCAAGCACTCAGGCCTAAATGTTGATAACGTTACGCGCGTTGATACATTCAAGCACAAACATTTTCATCTCCCGCACTCACCGCTACTAGCCTTAGCAGAGTTTCCCCCAAGATTCTTCTCTCCATCAATAAGGATCACCTTGGCATTGCTGTTTAGAGCTTCCAAAGTAGCAGATAATCCCGCAAGTCCTCCACCAACGATAATGACTGGTTCATCTGCTCCCGGTGCCTAAATCGCGATATTATTAATCAATACTCAATCAATCCTATCCAACTTTTTAAAACAAAACCTTAGTTCACCTAATCCTCACCGAAGAAGCCAACTTCCTCAAGTGACCAATCTGTTTTCCCTACAAATAACCAGACAGCATAGGATTGTTTGGCAAGCAAAGCGTTTTGAATAAAAAAAA